ACAAAAGTTGTTTCCCGACACCGACGCAGTTCACTATTATAAATATTTGCTGTACTTAAAGTGAATGTTAACTTTCGCACTCACCACCACTCGTCTCGAGCTATTTCTCGAAATCCGTCAATCGTCTACTTCGGAACCGGTTGTTTTTGATTGGATAACGTTTATGACTTTTGCACACTGTTCATCGTTGTTTTTCACCGTCAGACAGCTAATATTTCGCAAGCGTAATGAGATCCAGTCGGAACGGCTTCCGGTCAGCAGCCTAACCGGAGTCAGACTCGCGTCGCAGACAGTGTTTCCTCGGCTTGGAACCACGTTACCGCGATGTCGGGACCTCGTGCTCGTCCCACCACTGGCGTTCTCGATCGGAGCCGAGCCAAAGCCGTGCATCCGTCGTACCAGCGGCCTCTGAACCGATTACGTAACGGCGGAAAGGAAAGAGCGGATGACACAGCCTCGACGATCTCTCCCCGAGAGTCGGAAGGCCTGTCAATCCTTTTCTGACACGACGGGACCGGTTCAACGACCGAACACCTTACGAACATGGACTCTGACCGAAATCCAAACACGCTCGCTGACAAGGCGACGTTCCGAACGATGCCAGCGATGTACATCCATATTCATTAAAACCAGTTTCTTTCGTAACTGAATTATTACATTGAATACGGATTAACAAACGGCACTGCCATGATTAATATTGACAGAAAAACGTTGTCGGTCTACTATTCGATATTTATTACTATTGATTTATCAGACCGCGACTCGGTTTTGTCCTCGTAGCATTTTTATCGGACGTTCCTGTCGATTAATCACGAGAAACAATAAAAAGTATCTCATGTTTCAATGCATCGTAATCCTTTGGTACGAGTTGGCTGGTCTATCTTCGTTTCCTTCCAATCAGATTCTTCATCGAGTCGAAAGACATTATCGATGGAATATGAAACACGTCGGACAATGCTGACAAACGTTTCAGCAACGTTCAAACCACAGTCAGCGATATTCGCTGGACTAATTATCGGACTGGTCATTACACGAATTAATGAATTTCGCGTTCTGAAAATCGCTTGTCCATTAATAATATCGATAATGGCTACGTCGACGAACTGATCGTAATCGACTAATTGAGTAGAGACCTGTCGGCCAATATAATTACTAAATTACAGATGTCATGCGTTTATCAAAAAATTGTATCTACGTAAGGAGCGCTCGATATTAAAATATACGATATTTAAATGACTAATTTTCCTAATCAATATAAAATCATAAATGTTTTACACAGGAATCCGCAGTCTAGATTTCGCGTGTGCGTAGTTAGGAGACTTATTAACGGTCGATCGACACGCGTTAATTAAGAGCGCGTTCCATTACGAAACGGGAAGATCGTTAATCGTCCGTGCGATTACCGAGCACGTTCCACTGGCGAGGCGCGAGGGAAGGAAATTGCGGCGAGTGTCACGCAAAATGCAAATCCGCGTGTACCATGTACATACGTACATATCCCGTCCGATCTTCCACGCCTGATCTCGATCGAGCTCGTAAATATCGCCGTTTAATTATGCGCGAACGTCGCATCATTCACTTAAGGATGTATTGGCTATACAGTCAATCCCAAAAGTTTATGTACCTTAGAAAAACGCATTTCCTATAATTAAAAAGAAATCAGACGTCGGAGGAATAATGCTAATAATAAATAGCTACGTGCTAAAAAGTATAGAAGGAAATATCCAATTAAGTATTGACGCTGACAAAAATTTTTTTTCTTCAAAATTGCGAAAAATGCTTCAAATAAAAGTTGTTCTTCTTCTAACTTCGATATTTAACGAGTTACGTATGATTATTTGGCATTTTATGGGTACTGATAAAATCCGACCATTCCACCGTCGAAATAGCCAACTTTTGACAAAAAGTTTCGTTTTTCCTTAATTACTCCTAAACCGTTGAATCTACGGGAAAATTGTATAGAACCTTTCTTGTAGAGGACGACGAGATCTACAATTTCTGTATAAAAGTTTTCCGCTAGCATTAATATTTAACGAGTTATTGACGAAAAACGAAAAAACAGTTTTTTGCAAATTACTCGTTAAGTATTGACGCTAGCGAAAAATTTTTACATGGAATTTGTAGATCTCGTCGTCCTCTACAAGAAAGGTCTGATGCAATTTTTCCGTAGATCCCACGGTTTGGAAGTTATTGGCAAAAAACGAAAATTTGGAAGAAATTGAAGGGGTACCCCTTGGAAAAATCTCGGAAAAATCGGAAATCTTTTTTTGTTGTTTATTATTAGCAATGTTCTTCCGACGTCTGATTTCTTTTTAAAAAATGCTTTTCTAAAGTGCATAAACTTTTAGGATTGACTGTATAGCCAATACATCCTTAACCGAACTTGCCCGTGAAGGCTCTTTACAATCGTTCCTTATCGCTTTTGTAGCTTCATCTGGGAAAACCTTTTAGTATATTAATTCCAACACGTCTCGGATCTCTCAATTTTGCCTTGCAAATCAACTGGATTTTATCAGTCTGAAAACTGCATTGTAAGTTGCATGATGACTCGTGACACTATCGTCTCATTACATTAATCCTTCCATGTCGCTTCGCAATTGAGTTGCATTTTAGTGACGCATCGAATGTTGTAAGAATTCCAGGATTCGTGCAACGTTGTTTCATTAACCAATCGGGGATTCGTTAAAAATTTCATATCTCGCGTGATTTAAAATGGCTGGCGGCGATCGATTCCCGATTGACACCGGTCGCCCGGAAAGACGGGCTGGACGTGACAATTCTCGGAGCAAGAACAAGAGATAACGATGGATAAAAGAGAGCGGCGATGTATCGAGCCGTAACTTGAACAGGATTACCTCGCGTATGAACGAGCACGTCAGTGAAAAGCTACCCTTTAAACGCGGTCCAACGAACCGGAAGCACCGCGAGAGCCAATGCGGAGATCGAACGCAGACAGGGTCGAGGAGGACGGGACCGAGGATGTCGGGCTAAATAAGTACAGAAATGAAAGAAATAGAAAAATAGCGCACTAAAACCTGGTACTACTAAACTAATTTTATTGACAACTAAATGATTGCGGATTTTGTTGATAGACTTCTTACTTAAAATCCGCAATTACTTATTTACTTGCCAACCTAATATAAATGTGCAAGAGAATTTTGTAATTGTTGCACGATTTCAACTGGCTATGGTCTATCATTGTTTGCGTCACCTTGAAGAGACAAGGCTCGTCTTTTAGCCATTCTTCTCGCGGAATAGCGAACGAGTTTTTCGTCTGACCCGGTTTTCATCGTCGCCTTCGTTAGCTAAGCGGTCGCTCGTGTATTCCGTTTCTGCTTCAAGGATTTCCTCGTTGCTCGTCTGCTCGCGTCGATTTCAGTCCCAACGGAGATAGCGTCGCGTTCTACCTACACTGATACGCTGTTACCGAAGCTACCCTTTCTACAGCGATTTTAATCACGAAATCGACCATTGAATAGAGCTCGACTCTGTTTGCACCTTTCTTTTAATAAATTAAGAGATAATAGCCTCTGATGAATTCTCGAAAATGAAAAGCACGCGCGTATTTAGCTTAGCGACAAATTCGTGGCGCGCATGCTGGCGTGTTCCAGTCGCGTGCAACGAAGCAATTCATTAATCACTGTACGTGGCGATAACTCATGGGGTTCCAGACGAAATTCCTTCACGGCGAGTGAACCAAATCGACGGGGAGAGAAAGAGAGAAAGAGAGAGAGACTGCATGCAAAATTCCATGCGTCGCATTCGCGAAACCATAATTCAAGTCCGTGTCCGCTCTTGGAACTCCCGTTTCATAATTCACCGCACAAAGTAGAGACCCATACTTTGTACAAATGGTCCCGCCGCGACGCGAATTATCGACCGTGAACTTTTAAAATTCGACATTGCACTTTTAAATACATGGTGCAAGTCCTACGTTTACGATGATTGAAATATTTGATCACTGAGGAAATGACTTTGTTCAATGGAATATCATTTAATTTCATCGCCAGATGGAATCAGAGATCCGACGCGAGAGACATTAAACAGATTCGATTACGTGGGAGAACAATGAAAAGCGGGAAATAATAGTACACGGCCATCCGGCGTGTTCTGAAACAGGGTTGCGAATATGCTTTTACAGTATTAACCTACACTTCGACCCTGTGGATTATTCTAGCTCCGATTCTAACAATAATCTGGATTCGTTCGAATCGCTCGATCCCTCGTATACAAAATATGAAATGAAAATGTAGAACAAAAGCTATCGCATAAATTTTTAAATGCGAGCTGTTCCCTTCTGAGCATTTTAAGCGCTCGAAGCGTACGTTGAGGAGAAGAGGAGTTTTTATCAGACAGCAATTTGCCGTGCAGGGGATGACGAAAACTTTCATTAAGAGTCATCAACGGAGAGAGGAGAAAAAAGCAACCACCCACGGACCATCGCTTCCAGCTATCGTTGAATGGTTACAGTGAAATCGTCCCATCCCGGATCCACGTGCCAACGCAAGAACAGAGGAGAGAGAACATCTCCTCTCTGCGGTTGACGTTGCGACGCGACGCGTCAGAAAGGAAAGAGCAATTATTTAGACGAGCTCCGTGCCGCGTTCGCGAGTATCGATCGTGTTCGAGACAAGGTTAAAAATATCTATTTGCATGTCAAGATACATTATGGCTGATTAGAACTGTGTAGCTACCTTAATTCTTCTCGCCGACTCTCTCTCTACACCGAAGGTCGACCAACTGATCGAAGTGAAATTTATTATACCCATTGCTGGACTCTAATTCCGCGGATGTGCCACAAATAGTCATAGGCTATAAGCGGATCTAACGCCTCGCGCGATTAAGGTAGCTCGCTATTTGGGTCCTACAATGGGCTTATTTTAAAATAAGAATATGAAGTGAAAATTTCATTATTAAATGTATACTATCATTTCCACATTCATATATTTTAATGT